TGTTTGAAAACATCCGCGGCAAGTCCTGGATTGTTTTACAAGTTAACTTTTCACACTATATATCCTTTGATCTTAGAAGCGCATACATGCAATAAAAGAGAACCACAAGCGAAGTTTATATTCTTAATTAGGAGGCAATCCAATTTGAGGCGACACTGTCAACTCACATGTAGTTGCTGTCATAACACGGCGGTCATTCCTTTTGATTCGGATCAAGTAACCGTATCAAACCAATTGATCTGGCTTGAATGTGTATCTATATTTGTATGAATGTGTATGAATGCGCATAGTGCTGGTCAAAACTCATGTTTTCCGTATTTTCAGCAACATGACCAATCAATGCCACTGAAACAATCTGTACTTGTGTAATGAACTGTGATTGGCTCTTCATTCATAGCGTCTGTTACTACCATTTCTCTGTTCTACTATTCTCATGCAAGTAGACTACATTTTACATTGAATGTGACAGTTAAGGCTTGTAAATAATAACAAATGGCGAAAACATAATGGATATATATTATTACACTATGAACGGTAAACAATTTGTATCATTGCAATGTGCGAAACAAGGCGAAGATCGTGAGATTGGCCGAGCGCGCTCCCCCGCCTCGGCCTCGGTTTAACGGCTCATCGTCTATAACGCCCACCAATTATTTGGACCCCATTGGTAGCGTTGTAGCGAGGGACCACTGTATCATGATATTTATATATGTAGACATGGTCAATATTTCCTAAAGATACATGGACATAACCATGGTAACATCATAGTGTTTGTTTGTTTAATGCCGCACTCAGCAATATTCCAGCTATATGACGGTGGTATGTAAATAATCGAGTCTGGACCAGACAATCCAGTGATTGACATCATGAGCATCGATCCACGCAATTGGGTCAGTGAGCCTGACCACCCGATCCTGTTAGTCGCCTCTTACGACAAGCATAGTCGCATTTTAAGGCAAGCATGGGTTGCTGAAGACCTATTCTACCCCGGGTCTTCACAGGTTGTAACAACACAGTGAGTGAGTGAGTAAGTGGGGTCTAATGCAGTTTTTAAACAGTATTCCGGTTCTATCATGGCATGTCAGCTTAATGTGCTAGAAAAGCACAAAATGAAGATGCAGGTCTCAGACGTTCACCACTTTGGTAAAACCTAGAAACATAATCGGGGTGAACCGGGATTCCAACCCACGATCATACGTTTCTGGTCTGACCAAGTGACGCAACTCTGCAAAGCGAAGTGCAGCGCCTTAGACAACTAGAAAGCTCAGCTAATAGGTCTCTGTATAACACTGAAATCTACTGAAAATTATGCCAAGTCCTCAGTATGTCAAGGCAACTAAGAACAAGTTTTACAAACCGGTATTTTCTCATCTCTCCAGTTCTCGATAGAAAATTTCACTAAACATGACAAATAACAGTATTGTGATGGTTATTGATATGCTCACACTTGAACTTGCATTAGTCAAGTAAACAGTGTCAGCCATGAGTCAACAGCTGCACAGTTATCTCCCTTTCTGGTCGATCAGTGAGTTGGTTTATCACATTCACTGATGACCTACCTCTCAGCATGCTCATCAATGTATTTCTACTGAATCTGAACATGCAAACAGTGACCAAACACAACACAATGCCTTGTTTCCTGGTACCATCAGATACAGGCCTTATATTTACATGACTGCACAGTAGCAGCAGGTCACAGTAACATGTTATGACATTTTCCAATAGAATAAAGGCCAAACAAAGGTGTCTTTTAGTGAAAATTGAGCTCTAAGCATCTTCGTCTTTATTGGTCCTGTTATCAGTGATATACAAGTTACCTCTGCAAAGCCATAACATTAGATATAACACTATTAACCTCTATTGGGAAATTATTAATTTAATTCTAAAAAAAATAACTGATATTTGTTGCAGACATGGGACTGAACATTGGCCTTTGATTTGATCAAGTCTAGATAAACCTGTGAGCTAACATGAATATTTCTGGAACATTGTTTACGTTTAGGTCATACATGTTGTTTAAAAAGAACAAAAGGAATTTGCAGACAACAATCAGCATTAGAAATTGGAACAAGTCCTATCGTCCTTGCCAAACTGCCCAATAGTTAAGGTATCATAAGGACCTATAGAAATTTGCTATTTTTAAGGGTTTTGCTATATGTTATCATTATAAGGACTAGTGGACTAAAATAGTTAGTTTCTATCGCTCCAACAATGCTACCTTCATTGATACAATGTTTAAGTTACAGAGCTGCTATGATCTCAGAGAAGATGGCCAAACTGTGAACGTGTATGACAAGACTGTGGACAGATGTAAAGCATGATATGATGACGACTCTAGGAATGACTAGTCGAATACTTCAATTAGAAAAATAGTATCTGAAACTATTACTTTATCAGGAATAATATATATTCCATTATCGTGATATTTTAGATGCAGTATTTACTACATATATATATTTCACATAACCATAATCTTAGCAATTTGGTTCAGCTGAGAGCTATGGCCGGATTTTTGATTATGTATGGAACAATTTGACCACTCGCCATTGAGATATCCCTCGACTGTGAAAACAGTGTGTTGACATAAAACAGTCAAACTGCATGAAATATGAATTTTAATGAGTCAAAGTATGACATTTATGATATATGTATCCATTCTCTGACAACTAATTTTTGTTTTAAGGCGTCAATAGCAGTAATCTGATCTTAGTTGCTGTAAATAATGGTGAGTCTTCTATATTACAGTAAACAATATTGAACGAAATTTTGAATAATTTTTAAAATAAAATATATTTAAACCAAAGTCCAGATATACAAGGAACAGATTTTTTTACAGGTACAACCGGTGTTTAAGTGCTCATGGTAATCAGCTGGTATTGTCTTTGCGTTTGGGGAGCAACATCATGTCACTGTCAGTGTAAAATTAAAAATGGATGGAAATGTACATCATGTTATTGCTTAGGTTGAAATATTTCAGTGATATTTTATAAATAACAGACAAGTTCAACATGTTCAAGCATAAAACACTCTTTTTTTAAAAAAAAACAAATAAATATTCAATTCTCGTGAAAATAACAAATTCAATTCATGAAAGGATACAATTTGATTCACCGAATATACGATCGAATCGTAACAGCCCCAGTAAACATGGTAAATAATATTTGTTGTAATTGTCAGGCTTGATCACATGAAAAGTTTCGGGATGGGACAGTTCTAGAAGGCTAGCTGTACCTTCATAATAGTATCATTAGGCTGATCAGAGGCCTTTTTCCATGTGACTTGTGGCTTATCTACATGCCTAGTTGTGAAGACCGAATTATGAAGAACACAAAGTTTCGGAGTATATGCTTACTCCCTCATAATTTAATGATCGATCGTGCAGGGGTACAAACTAACATATTTAGTCCACTAGTCCTTATAATGATAACATATAGCAAACCCTTAAAAATGGCAAATTTCTACCTGTCCTTATGATACCTTAACTATTGGGCAGTTTGGCAAGGACTAAAGGACTAGTGCCAATTTCTAACGCTGTCGTGTGTGGTCATTTACCGATTCCACAATACAGTTCTGTACGTACAGATTCTGTGCTATCCTTTACGTTTCATTTGGAAATCAACTCATGTCGAAGGTATTAAACAGTTCTTCAACTTGATTTCAATCCTATACCGCCTCATAAAGTGTTCTTTGTGTGCCTTGTGGTTTATCATAGTTTATGAGCATGATGAGAAGATTGTGGAACATTTTACACAATATTTTTTCTTTCCTCTATGTATTGGCTGATATTTCCAAATGTGTGTCCTATTATCATGATTATGGCATAGATAGATATCTATGACTTTTGCTGCAGATTGGGGCTGAACATCAGCTTCTGATCAGGTCAATAAAAAACCCTTGTCAGGGGTTCCAGATTAGGGTCAGTCAGGAAATCAGAAAGATATTATAGTTGCCTAAGTGAGTTAGTTACAAAACCAAAAATGCTGATGTAGCTGAAGTACACAGCAACTAGTGTCGCCTGGTGAACACAATCAGTCATCCCTGACGATCAAGTCAGAGGTAAACAATGTCTGGCTGTCATCAACCCATCCAAACTATTCACCTCGCCCACATCAAATTTGACACATGAAGCTTGCAAAGTAAATCTTTAAATCCTAGTCAAATGGACTCGTATGATTAATAAATCAAAATTACTGGTCAGAATTGAACATGATCATGATTATATATAGTAATTATGATGTACTATTAATTGGTCAAACTGTGAAGAAAAGTCTAACAAGTAAATAGCAGTAGTTAACACATGATGATTGAAGCAATCAATTTTGTTTCCCACATACAAGCTTGTGATGTCACAGTGGGTATAGTATACATGGCAAAAAGATTTACTAACATGAAGCTTCACTGGGAAAATTTAAACATTTTACAACTTTGTTATTCTTAATATCAAAAGTAACTTTGTCTCTTAGTCACTGTTTCTAGTTCAGCAAGAGTGTTGTTCTAAAGTTATGTCAAAAGTAACTAGTTACTTTGTTGTGATCTCAATCCAGAATTATAAAATCATATCCTATGGAAGAAAATGAGCAAAACAAGAATTCATTCTTTTCAGTGACAACAAATTAACACATATTTAACATTTGTAACAAACAATTAACAAAATCATAAATGTGTAAAGAAACGATTCTATCCCATAGTTAAGTCTGAAATCTACGTTCTTCTGTTGTGCATACGGGTGAGGCTTGTTCAATGTTTACTCTTTCAAGGCAAACATGTTCCACATTCCACGCCCACACTCGTACCCCATAAATACTTTACGGTGTTCAATGCCTTTATTGTTATGGTCACTTGTCGATTCCATAAGCATTGCATGGTCGTTGTCTGGCAATTACTAAGGTATTTGACATACCGACATTCTAAAATAAACATTCAATAAAAGTGACAAGCAGTGGTTTGCCATGAAATCCGAGCGCTAACTGGAGCGAGACAACTCTCGTCAGACAACTTACCTGATCATCGACGAGCATATCCTCTGTACTTCCTGCCTGTGAATAGACAAAATTGGAAGTGTAGAATTAACAAGCATCCATACATGTAAAGCATGGAGTCGTAGTTATTCCGGGAAAAGAAGACGCGGAGAAAATACCGGACATTGAGACGCCGCATTCTCAAGTAATACACGGACAGAATGAGATTCAACAGTTTGTATACTAGTGAAATCCACGTGTGGTCGTGTTACCTCATTGTCTTGGGCCACTTCCATACGCTTCCAGGGATCCGCTAACGGAGCCAACGGCATCTTGGGGCTAAAGAGCGGAATTTTGACAAGTTTTTAAATGAACTTCCAAACTACAGAAGAGTTTGCAATTTTCTGACCCTCAAGCCGACCAATATGGCGGCTGCATCAGGAAGAGGCAGTGAGATCCCACTTCCTATGACGTAGAACACAACATTCCACACGCGCGAATGAATGCTATGCTGCTTACCCAACGTGAAATCGGAGTTTTGCGGCAAGATAAGGAATTGCTGACGTGGTTGCGATAATTAAAACTTGCACTCCCGAGTTCTATCACTCTTTCCAGAGTGTATTTTTAGCGTGCTGCAACGAACACATACCGGTACCTTATTTTGTTTTGTAGTAAAGGCATCCGATATTTATATAACATATCACAGCCGGTTTCAAGAGTGTTTATAAATATGCGTTTGGACCAAAGCCCATATGATTTTTTAAATCAAAATATTCCGACAGTGTTAATGTCATTACTGAACAGATATCGTCTGAGGCTGCTAACAGTTCTTGTCAATATTATACACAGCAGATCGACACTTAGAACGAGCGCCACGTATAGTCCGGGAGAGTGAGTGAGTGAGTGCAAGTTTTACCGCTGCATTGACCATAGCATACGCACGAGGAATTAGATTCTCTGTCCCGAGTGAATTAGTATTGTGCGAGCTGAGGAACATTCAACATTGATTCTCGAGGCACAGATAATCCGTAGCTGCTAGTACGTTATTTTTATACTCCTCTATATTTCTGATTGTTTGTTTGTTTGTTGTGTAGCGCCGCACACAACAATATTCCAGCTATATGACGGCGGTCTGTAAATAATCGAGTCTGGACCAGACAATATATTAATCCAGTGATTGACATCATGAGCATCAATCCACGCAATTTGGATACGATGACATGCATCAGCTAAGTCAGCGAGCCTGACCACCCGATCCCGTGAGTCGCCTCTTACGACAAGCATAGTCGCCTTTTATGGCAAACATGGGTTGCTGAAGACCTATTCTAGCCCGGATTTTCACGGGTCACATTTCTGAGAAAATATAGAGACATATATGGGTATTCTGGTCTCAAATAGAGACATCAGTTCAGTTCGCCTACTGCTGGAGCGACGTCACATAAAATTGTTTGTGACGTCATCTTCAATATGTCCGTGCCCCTGTGATTGTTTGTTTGTTGTGTAACCCAGCACTTAGCAATATTCCATTTATTGCCTCTCGCGGCGTTAAAAAACAGACAATCGCTCAATCACTGACACGGACATATTGTGGGAATTATATCATTTATATCACGGCGTGTCAGTTAATGTTGGAAGATGTCACTCAATGCTATTAAGCATGCTGTTTGTTTAACGCCACATTCCGCAATATTCCAGCTATAAAGTTAATGGCAACCTGTAAATGATCGAGCCTGGACCAGATTATCTGGTGATTGATATTGTGAACAAGGATCGACAACAATCAACCAAGTCACCAGATCCATTAGGTACGAGCATACCCGTGAAGATCCGGGGTAGAATAGGTCTTCATCACCCCATGCTTGCCGTAAAAGGTGACTATGCTTGTCGTGAGAGGTGACTAACGGGATCGAGTGGTGAGGCTCGCTGACTTGGTTGATGCATGTCATCGTATCCCAATTGCGTGAATCGATGCTCATGATGTCAATAACTGGATTGTCTGGTCCAGACTCGATTATTTACAGACCGCCGTCATATAGCTGGACTATTGCTGAGTGCAGCGTAAACAACAAACAAACAAACATTAGGTACGAACAGCATTGGTTGCTGGGGTCCTCCTCTAAGCCGGAATCCAAACCGGGAGCGATTTCTGTAGACGTTTAGAACCTTTATACGGAACTGATAAATCACAATGTGATAAATCAAGGACCAAAATCGGAATATGTCTGATATTCGAACACATTACGAGCGAATCCTGGCAACTACCACCAGTTGGTTTGGTTTGTTGTTTAACGCCGCGCTCAGCAATATTCCAGCTATATGTCGGCGGTCTGTAAATAATCGAGTCTGGACCAGACAATCCAGTGATTAATATCATGAGCATCAATCCACGCAATTGGGATTGATGACATGCATCAAACCAAGTCAGCGAGCCTGACCACCCGACCCCGTTAGTCGCCTTTCACGACAAGCATAGTCACCTTTTACGGCAAGCATGGGTTGCTGAAGACCTATTCTACCCCGGAATCTTCACGGGTCTCTACGACAAGTAGTGTATTGGGCGGAAAGAATGTTTTTAGTGAGACGCTTCGCCAGTTTACTTTCATCCATATATGGAGTGAGCTGTATGCCAGAAACATTGCATATGTAGTGTGACATTTCCCTGTGTTAAAATGACATTTCATCGATTAACAGCGACAAGAGGAAGGTTATTTGGATAAACTGGTTAATCTTGTCAAATAACAGGTTATCGCCTTTCATATCCTGGCAAACTAACCACGGTTGTAGGATTGGCATTGTCGTGACTATTTTCTCAGGTGGCGTGATGATGTGAACGTATAATATAATCATAGGCTCCAAATACACATCTGTTTATTTATTTCCGTCCTATGTTTGACATCGAACATCCACGATTTAGCATTCACGTACTCAAAATCGCCCTTGCAAGTAGCTCTTTGTAACTTGTTATTTTACGACGACGGAATAAATATTTTATATCTAATATATATTTTCTTGCAGGTAAATGCTTGACGTCATAATGTGATTTGACAGCACATGCTGAGATCCATGGGGTAGGTTTCCCTTAGTTTGATACATTAGCACGGGTGGGTTGGGTTGGGTTGGGTTGGGTTGGGTTGGGGCGTGTGTGGTGGGGGTGGAGGGGGGGTTAAGCGCTGTCCATGCCAATTCTCTCTGGACAGTAAAAAAAAAATGGGATCTCACCCGAGTGCACGATTCAGGCAAGTTGTCGGCCCTTTTAATTAATACTTTCAACTTTAACTAATTTATATCATGCACAGAGGAGGACACGGGTGGCCCAGTCGTCTAAGGCGCCGCGATTCGCTGTGCAGAGTTGCATCCCTTGGGCACGCCAGAAACCTATGATTGTAGGCTCGAATCCCGGTTTGCCCCGATTATGTTTCTAGGTTTGTCAGCATCATACCCGTGCTCGTGGGTTTCACCGAAGTGGTAAACGCATGAGACCTGCATCACTTCGGGCTTTCCTCCCACATTAAGCTGACACGCCGTGATATAACTGGAATACTGTTAAAAGCGGCGTTAAACCAAACTCACTCACTCATGCACATGTCTTTTGTATACGACATTCAATGATAAGTTCGATAGTTTTGTATTTCCTTTTCACTTCATCAGGCGCGATAGCGACAAGCTTTTCAGCGGGAAATCGACATTATCAGTTCATACTAGCTTCCTCTTGTGTCAATCTTAGGATTATTAGGCTATTTTGGGATTTGTTTAACTTGAACCTTTCTGTGATGAATATATCCTGAGGTGTTTAACAAAGGATAACCTCTACGAGTCGTTAGAAGTTGTTTTACACTGTGTAGGTTATTGATTTTCTTCTATAAGGGGCGGCGGGGTAGCCTCGTGGTTAAAGCGTTGTCTCGTCACGCCGAAGACCCGGGTTCGATTCCTTACATGGGTACAATGTGTGGAGCCCAATTCAAGGTGTCTAGGTTATTGATTATCCTCTATAAGGGGCGGTCGGGTAGCCTAGTGGTTAAAGCGTTGGCTCGTCACGCCGAACACCCGGGTTCGATACCTTACATGGGTACAATGTGTGAAGCCAATTTTTAGGTGTCCCCCACCGTGATATTGCTGGAATATTGCTAAAAGCGGCGTAAAACCATACTCATTCACTCTCTTCTATAAGCTGACTGTCGTGGTTGTTTTAGCTTGACAAGATCTCATTTATACCCTGTTCCTGCCTTTCAAATTGCAATAATCCAAAGATGAGGTCATGTTGAGGTTGGTTGGTTTGTTGTTTAACCCCGCACTCAGCAATATTCCAGCTATATGACGTCGGTCTGTAAATAATCGAGTGTGGACCAGACAATCCAGTGATTGATATCATGAGCATCGATCCACGCAATTGGGATCGATGACATGCTTCAACCAAGTCAGCGATCCTGACCACCCGATCCCGTTAGTCGCCTTTTACGACAAGCATAGTCGCCTTTAACGGCAAGCATGGGTTGCTGAAGACCTATTCTACCCCGGTTCTTCATGCTGAGGACATTTATCTTCTATGAAGGATGGCAGTCATTTTTCTTTGCTGTTACTGATTACAGTAATTTCGTATCATATGTAGTGACAGGCTTTATTTAGGCTTGTACGTCTTCTGATAGATTCACACATTAAATCATGTTTTCTTTTGACGTGGAAGCTTGAAACTAAAGGGCTGGTGTTGAATGACACACGTACATAGTTAATTGCCTCGGTGCCCATATGGTTCTGAAAGAAAAAGAAAACTATGTCAAGTTGGCACTAAAACGCATGAAAGAACTTGGTATATGTTACATATGAAATAATACCACATGGTCGTATACGCAAGGTAAACCGAGGACAATCTCATCTTAAATCAGATCTTAGTTCTCACTACCGCTTAACAAAGATCTGAGGACATCCCATTAGACCGACCTTGCGTGAACTTTGGAGGCAGTTTTCTCGTGCTTTACGGCATTAATTTCAAATTGGCGACTACGCTTCAAAACATATTTTGGCATATTCTCGATTACAAATTTGAAACCCGAACAAAAGAACATTCTGGAATGGTTAATAGATGGTCTAGATTGTATGGATCCAGTCGTTAAACCCGTAACTATCGTTCGGAATACTCCTTGTTAAAGTGTTCGAGGTTGCATGATTAGAAATCACATTCCGACTGTCACTTTCATGATCTGGTAAGCGACGCTCTGATTGGTCGGATGAAAGGTCGTTCTGACGTGACCCCTGATGGGATGTCTTCAGATCTTTGTTTAGCGGTTGTGAGAACTAAGGTCTGATTTTAATGAGATTGAACCTAGGAAGAATCCTGTTAAATAAAAGCGACAAAACCTTTTCCATACCGACAAGAAATCTCTGGAAAAAACAAAGTCGACCGTACGACTCCGACCACATCATGAGCATGTGTTTATGAAATTCCTGCGTATCCTGCCCCACGGGTGGCAC